GTGTGTGTGTGTGTGTGTGTGTGGTGATGGGGATTGAACCCAGGCCTTGTGCCTGCTAGGCAAGCACTCTGCCATCAGTTTGCATCCCCAGCCCAGAAATCAGGAAATCTTTAAAGAGAAAAGCAACAATTCCTCCCTTTACCATACTCTTTTAATACCTGTTAGTTTCATCCCCATCTATAGACACAAGACACCTACCCACAGAGGCTAGAAATACTGTTCCAGGCAGAATGTTTGGTTTGCAAACTTGCAGGCTTTCCTGAACACAGAGACCAGATAAGTGACCACAGCGTAGGGGTGCCACTTGCCAGGACCACAGAAGAGGAAGATGTGGAGAAACACGAAGTGGGGGAATGCAGGGGAGGGCGAGTTGGAGGAAAGAGGAACTATAAAGTGGGAACAACTGCTTCAGTGGCCAGCTGTCTCCCATGCTCCTGTCTGGGCTGGACCAGCAACTGCCTGCAAAATTCAGCTGCTCCTTAGTCTGGTTGTGAAACATCTCTTTGGCCCAGGAGGCTTTGGCCAACTTTGCATTCCCGTTTGATGGGGATCCTTTGCATGCTAGTAACACCAACCTTTACAAACCCCAGAACATAAGGTGAGATGATATGGCTTCTTAGTGAGGTTATGGTGCTCAAAAGGAAATCTTTACGTTCTTGCCAGGGTGAGATTAGGTAGAACCATTTGACCTTGCCTTTCTGTTGGAGTGGTGGAGGAACACCCTCGCCTTTTTCTGCATATTGCAAGCTGCAAATTCGAAGAGCTCAGAACTGTGTTTCTGTATCCAACTGGTGACTAACCCCACTATGACCTGGGACCATAAAGTCAAGGCAAAATCCACCTGTCCAAGATGATGTTCATATTTTAAATAGATGCACACTTCTGAGTTAGTTGTTCTTGCAGCTTATAATTAGACCTTGTTGTCAGGAAGAAAAAAATTGAAAGCATCTGTGTTTCAGTGTTATTCAGATCTGTGACTGACCCAATTTAAAAAATTTTAAAATGTGGCATTGCTATTTGTCACATCTTTGCACCTTCCTCACACTCTTGTGAGATGCGGGTTGGGAGTGTTTATTGAGCTGTGAGCATGGAAGAGGAAGGGCATTATAGCTGAGGGCCTTGGACAGCCCATAGGAAAACTCCAGAGACAGAACTTCCTCTGAGATTTACTTTTACACACTGCAAGAAAGATGGCAAAACAGATCCTTTGGAAGGGTGTCCTTAAAAAGTGATGGTTCTTTGAGACAAATGATTATGGAAGTTGTTTATTTTGGTGTTTTTATTGTTTTTGGCAACACCATCCTCATCACCTGCAGAGGTGAGCTAAAGAGCTGTAACTTGAACAATCGACCTATTCATCCTGTTTGGAGAGGGTCTACTACCAGGATCTTCCCTAGACCCTCGCAAGAAGTTTGAACTAAATAAACTGAATAAATTAGAACTGTCTTTTATGCTTGGTTTTCAATGCATAAAATGGTTGCATCCCTCTCTGTTCATTATGAAAAAGTACTTTTAGTAACATAACTCTCACGCCCTTCCCATTTAGAAGTCACAGTGGGCTCTTCCCTCCCCTCATTCTCAAGTATGAGTAAACAACCAAAGATGAGCAGACATTTAAGGAGTTTGTAAAGGGCAAGATAAACTAGCAACAGTAGCAACAAAAGTATTTGCCCAAGTACAGATAACTTGGGGGAAATAAGCCAAAAGGCTAAATATACAAATTTAAGAGTCATATTATTAGTATCCTTATGGAAGATGGTGAATCCACAAAGTAAGAACAGATTGCTATAAAAGAAGAAAAACACAGTGTGAGATAGAGGCTTTCCCAAAGTCAACAGCAATCTTAACAATTTGTATGACATACCAATAATAATGTGTGAAGCAAATAGAAAATTTTTGTATCAACTACAGAGAACAAATTTTGATTGGCCACAGGGATGATATTATAATTTCTTTTCTCACAATGAACATTTACTGTCAGGCATAATTTTGTGTTCATAATCTAATACTCTTTTCCTTAAAGAAGTCCTCCAAATTGTAAGTTTCTGGCACAGAACTTCTATAATTCTTGGAAATTTCTAAAGCAATAGAGAGGACTTTTTTGTTCTTTAGGAGCTCCTTTAGGCCCAGGATTTATGTTAAGGAGGTGACTCAGTGTGGGTTCCAAAGTAGTGGGGGCTGGTCATCTAAAAGATCAAATACATGACTAGAAATTGGAAACTTTCAGCCTCACTCTCTGACCTCCAGGGTAGCAAGAAGGGATGGAGATTAGGTTATACCAACTCTAGAAGAAAGAGATTTGAGACGTGAGCACTTCCACGTTGCTGAACAGATCCACATGCCGGAAAGGTGGTACACCCTGACTCCTTGGAGAAAGAAATTCCTGTGCTGGGACCCTCTCCAGACCTTACACTCTGTATCTCTTCATCTTACTATTGATATGTATAATTTACAATAAAACTACACCTGTAAGTATAACACTTTCCAAAGTCCTTTTGAGTTGTCCCAGTGAATTGTGGAACCTGAGAACAGCATCATGGGAACCCGAGCAAAAGTGCAGGTGTTTGCACCTAGTGTTGGAATTGGGACAGTCTTGTGGGACTGTGAAGGGTCATTCTTAACTCTGATTAAATCTTAACTTAGTGTCAGAATTGACCTGAATTGTTGAGCACTCACTTGGTGTCAGAGAATTGGAGAGTTATTGTGGGAAATGGCATGCATGTTGCATCACAGACTAATTTGTGATTGTGGTAATGTTAGAATTGCTGACTAATTCTGTCTTATACAATTTCCACCAAAGAAGAAAGATTAAGGCAAGAGGAATGCAAGTTGGAGCCCAGCCTGAGCAATTTAGCACCTTAGGGAGAGCCTAAGTTCTCAAAATTTAAAATTTAAAAAGAGTTGGGATTGTAGCTCCGTTTGATGGCCCTAAATTCAATCCCCAGTACCACCAAAAAAACAAAAACAAACAAACAAGCAACCAAACAAAAACAAACAACAACAACAATAAAAACAACAAAACTTCCTGACGTACAAGAGCTTCTATTTCCACCAGCTGGCAGTTTTTCCCCTTATAATTTTACACATCCAATGACTGACGGAATTTTCCACGGACTAACTATAGGCTCCATTATTGTCAACCTTTATTTCTCCTCCACTGCACACACACTTGTTGTCCTGGGCACTATAGGACACATTCATATCGAACATTGATGCTTATGGATGGCTGTGCCCCATCATGTCACAGTGCTTTTCTGATGTAGATACAACTGGAGCTGATGGAGCACTCCCCTTCACTTACCTGAGCCTGGGCACTGCCCAAGGGCCAACCCCTCGACCTCTGTCCCAAGGCTTACTAGCTGGAGGTAGAGATAAAACAGATGCATGCCCGATCCTTTTGCATGACCTACAGTAACCTTCCTTCACTTGGAGCTCATTGAAGGTTCATGCATATGGACTGCATTCCATACATCCAGTCATAACAGAATGACTTAAGAGAGAAGACATGTGTGCTAGATACAGCTGATGTGATTCAGCACCCTGTCAATCACATTGTCGATTGTGCTCTGAAAGATTCCATGAGAGGCACCCTAGACCTGGCACAACATTTTAAATTCTTAAACCCAGCACCCTTGAGCACAAGCCTGCTCCCTCTGAGCATATCATTAGCTATTTCAACTTGATTAGACTTTGCTGCTTTTTTCCTTACTGTCGCGTACCACATTCATTTCTTTGTTGATCATGCACAAGAACCTAGAAATCTTTCTGGGCCCTGTCACCCATGAAAGTTTCATTGGTACAGTGAGCAGAAAGAATATTCTTGGAAACTATTTCCACACTACAATGGCTAGTAATAATCCTCTGCAGCAGTGACCATGGACCACAGCCCCACTATGTCTAAACCAACTAAAACTCAAGGTATCTTCAACTCAACCACCCCTTATCAGGGTCCCCAAAATATCCACAGGTGAATATTCCACTGCAATCCTGCATGAGGAGTAGTTGCAGAAGACAGGAAGAGAAGTGGCTCTTAATGGATTGTGATGAAACCATTTTACCTTTGCAATATTTTGGAAACATAGCCATGCAAGTACCCTGCTGTAGCCTTTCCAGTCTAGGAAGGTGCCTGTACCAGGGCATGAAGCTTTAGCTCTTTGAACTTGACAGTCAGGAGGTAGGTGTGTGAGAGTTGAACTGTTCCAAGCCCAGCTCCAGCAATTCTTAATTGCAGCACCTTAGGCAAAGCACTGCAAAATGAGGGTTAGGGTGGAATTACTTTATTGAGTTTTTGTAAGGATTATGTCAAATAATGTAGATGGTCCTTGACTTACCATAGTTCAATTTATGATTTTTCACCTTCATGATGGTGTGAAGCAGTACATGATGATAGTTTGAATTTTGATCTTCTCTCAGTCTAGCAATATGTGTATGTCAGTGACCTGAGATGTTGGGCAGCTCCAGTCTGCCATGTGGTCTTTAGGGTAAATAACTGATATTCCCTAGTGTGCAGATATCTGACCCTTTATTATAAAACAGGTTTATGGTTGATGATTTTGTGGAGTTGTAGGCCTATGTTAGTGTTGTGAGTGTGTGTAAGGTTAGCTAAGCCAGGATATTTGGTAGGTTACATATATTAAATTCTTTGGGAGTAGGGAATCTTAGGGATTGAACCCAGGGCCTTCTCACTGAGCTGCATCCTCAGCCCATTTTTAGTTTTTTATTTGGAGACAGAGTGTCACTAAGTTGCCCAAACTTGTGACCCTTCTGCCTCAGCCTCTCAGAGGTGTTGGGATTACAGATACTCCCCATCATGCCCAGTTTTAAATGTTTTTTTGTTTTGTTTTGTTTTGTACCGGGGATCAAAAGCGGGTCCTTGTGCTTGTGAGGCAGGCGGTGGAACCACTGAGCTAAATCCCCGGCCCCTTACATGTATTTTTGATTTAAGATATTTTTAACTTACAGTGGACTTACTAGGACACAACTCCATTATTAAGCTGCAGAGCTTTGCGCAGTGGAGGTATTGTAGCCAATGAGGTTTATCTGAGGCACGATTATTGCTACTTGAAAACTTTTCCCATTATGAGCTGCACAGTATATATACTTGTACAGCATTTAGGATGGTGCCTTACATAGTATCTCATTAACACTTGCTTCCCAGCAGAGTTTATCCAGTGTCATAGTTTTGAATACTGTTTACATGCTAATGACTCCAGAATGGGATATGAGTGCCTAGAGCGTCTCATTCTGAACGAGCTCCAAGAGACTAATAATAAATAGGGTGTGGTGGCTGCTGCCTGTCATCCCAGCACTCTGGGAGGCTAAGGTAGGAAGATCAAGTTGAGTCCAGCCTGGGAAACTTAGTGACTTAGTGAGACTCTGTCTCAAAACTAAAAAAAATAAAAGGGCTGAGGACGTCACTCAGTGTGAAGCCCTGGGTTCAATCCCCAGTACTAGAAAAAAAACAAAACAAAACAAAACAAAACAAAAAAAACAAATAATAAATGTCTGTTTACCTTTTACTACCTTTTGAAATTGGTACTGCTTACTATAGTTTAAAAAATACATAAAGATAAGTACTCTTGTGCACAGCTGGTGGGAATGTAAAATGGTTTAGCCACTATGAAAAAAGTATCCTAGTTCCTCAAAAAAATTAAAAATAGAATTACCTTATAATCCAGCAATTCCAATTTTGGAAATAACCCAAAAGAACTGAAAGCAAGACCTTGAACCCTTGTATTCAGGTTTGAGATTAAAAAAAAAAAAAAGAAAGAAAACAAAAGAAACTGACCTGGTGTGATGGCGCATACCTGTAATCCCAGCACTCAGAAGGCTGAGGCAGGAAGATTGCTATGAGTTCGAGGCCAGCCTGGGCAACATAGCAGTTAAGGATGGCCTGAACTACATAGTGAGATCCTATCTCAAACAAACAAACAAACAAATGAACTAACAAAACAAAAAAGTAAAAAAAGAACATGAAATTGTAAGGTTTTAAGATGTACAGTTATTAGGATAAAATAAATTCTATTCAGGCTTTCTGGAAAGAGGTAGATCTTGGATGCTTGACAGTTTGTATTATCAAATAATATTTATGTTATGTGGTGAAATATCAGAAAAACCATAGAAAAGACAAGTCTATGATTTTATCAGATAGATCACATAGGGAAAAACAATAAAAACACCATTTACTTTGTTCTAGGCATATCATTGTTTTATCAAATCTTTAAAATACCTGTATGTTATAGTTGGTATTTGCTTTATTTAAATATTAGGAAATTGAAGCAGAGAAGTGTCTCACTGCAGGTCACACAGGATGGAAAAAAATTATTTTGGTTCCTAAATATGTGTCTTCAACTACATCATATTACCTCTTGGTACAGTGGTTGGAAATTTTCTTATCTCCACTTGTTACCACATATAAAGATACAGATGTATATAATGTATATAACATCAGATTTATACTTATTATTCCATGGTGGGAGAACATGGACTTTCACACAATTGTAAACAATGTTGCAAGTTGTTTAAATAACACTACCTTTCAGGCAGCCACAAATGTTGCCACAGAAGTGTGACCACAAAAATAGAATTTAGAGAGCTAATATTTACATTGGCTTCAGCAATGGGGAGATGACTGAGTCACAACTGAGCCACAATGTATGCATGTCTCAAAGTCCAGTTGTTGGAAAATTATAGGACAAAGATACTGCTGGTGCAAGTATTTGTCACAACATGTATGATAACACTTCACGACCTCAACAGCAACAAAAAAAGGCAAGCCAAATTAATAGCAATTTAAAATACAAGGGGGAGAATATCAGCAATTGAAAATTATAACAAACTCAAGACAACACCAAGGACTTGATGTTCTGATAACAGAGTCCGTTTTCCAAATTAAAGTCATTTGATATAGCTGGGAGAGGACATGAGCAGGAGGAAGGAAATTGGAATTTCCAGGATTGGCCTGGTGACCAGACTTTTTAGCAGAATATTGAAAAGTGGCAGTCTGTAACAAAGTCTAGTAACAGTCCAATTTTTGTTTATGAATATCATATTTTAGTAATGGATAATTCAGTCATAGTAGATCACTAGTGAAAATTGAAAGTTTGTAAAATGATTAAATTTGGATTCTGTTTGAGGTAGGACTCAGGCCCTTCAGGAGATATCAGCTCATTTTTAAACAACCCCTTACATAGAGGGAAGAGCATAGGAAGTTAGCATTGGGAAAGGCTGCTCTAAAATCCCAACTTACCAAGTATGGAATGCTGAGCAAGATTCTTAGCTGCTCTGAGCTTTGGGTTCTGTGAATGAGTCATTCTGTGATGTGCTGAAACTGGCTTATATCATTGTTGGACAGCTCATGGCTAAATTTTTAGGAATGTTGTACGTCAGTTGTTAAACTACTGATAGCTTGATATCAGTTATAGTGGGAGTATTTGTTGCACAGAAATTGACAAACGCTACCATTCGGAAATGTTTCCTCCTAGGTAACTTGTTTACTAGCACATGACTTTTCATCCCACACTCTCCTCCAGTGCATCAAGAAATCCTGTAAGGAAGGGATAATAATTTCCATGTGAGGACTAAATTGTTTTGGCATTGAATCAAAGCTAGGTGGTCAGTAAACATTTATTTTGTAGCATGGCTAGGTATGATCACATCTAATTCTCATGCAATCCTTTGGCATTGTCAGCCCCAAAGGTAGTCGTGCATTTTGCGTGCACACAGTAGCTAGAGTGATTATAAATGCAAACCAGAGCCACTTACTTTCTGCCTAAATCTATCTAGTGGTCCTGCCACATAAGAGTCTAAATTGCTCATCTAGTCCTCAATTCTCAGGCATAGTGGTAACAAGCATAGCTGTTGAAACCTGAGCTCAAGTCCCAACTTTCTATCATAAACTTGGGAAAATTTTTTATTCTCTCCATCCTTACTTTGCTACCTATAAAATGTGAATAATAGTACCAACTTCACGTTGCTGGGATTAATAGTGTTACTTCATGTAAAGCACCAGGAATACACTCCAGAAGGGCTTCAGAGTACACCTGAAGGGCTGAGTTTTCTCTCCTCTAGGGTTGCTGCAATGTTTAAATGAGCTATAATGTGTACATCATAAATGTTCTGCAGTGTAAGTTATCCTTGCCTCTGTAACTCTCTTTCTAGCCACATCTGACTTGGAGCCCTGCTGGGCTAGCCACACTTGTCTCTCACACCCTGGGCCACAGTACTGGAGCTCCGGTCTTGCCACCTTTGTCCTGGCCAGCTCCCACCCACCTGCAGTCCCAACAGTCCTGCCCCAGGCTGGGCTGCTTCTTCCTCTTCTGCTCTGCTCCCCTAGAACCTGCGCTTCCAGTCATCATTTTCACACTTTTTGTTGCTTTGTTTAAAACATACCCGATGCCCCCATCAACAGAATAGATAAAGTGCAGCACATACGTACAACAGAATGTTATTCAGCCTAAAAAGAAGGAAATCCCAACACGTGGTACAACATGGATGAAATTTGAGGACGCTGCACGAAATGAGCCAGGCACAAAAGGACAGATACGGAAGGATTCCACTTAAAGTCCTAGGATAGGCAAATTCATAGACAAAAAGAATAGTAGTTACAAGGGGATGGGCAGGCAGAGTAGAATGGGAGCTCTTGTTTCATGGTTACCTAGAGTTTTAGGTACTTTTCTTGTTGCTGAAACAAAATACCTGAGAACCAAAGTTGAGGGAGGAAAGTTTTATTTAGCTCACAGTTTATAGAGGTTTCAGTCCATAGTCAGCTGGCTCTAACGCAGCGTGGCATGGCAGAGGGTAGCAAAAGCAACAAGGGGCCTTAACAGCCTGGTTCGGCCCCTTTTATTTTATCCAGACTACTTAGGGTGGTAGCGCTCACACCCTAAATCCTAGTGTCCTTGAGTCTACCATTGCGCCATGAATCAGTTCCAGCCTCACTCACTCTAGATCCAGCCACCACTGAAAAAGCCCCATTGTTACCGCACGAGGCTTTGCGGGGGACATCGAAACACAGCCATAATGCCTCGTTTCAAGATGTGAAGATAAAGAAGTTCTGGAAATGGATTAAAAACAATGACTGCACCACACTGTGAATGTACTCAGTGCTACTGAATAGTACACTTAAAGTGGTTAATTTTATATTACGTATGTTTTATCATGATAAAAGTAGATTTAAAATATGAATTAAGAAGCAGTTCTAAAAACATCGATTATCATGGGACTATAATACAATTAATGAAATCCTGTTCAAAGTATTAATGCATAATTGTAACTATTATAAAATTATTTTATTAAAATAATAAAATTAAATAAATTTAAAAAAGAAGTAGTTCTAGCCTAGTGCTTGTAATCCTGGCAAGCTATGTGATTTGGCCCAAAGAACCTAAATTCTCTAAGCTTCTGTTTCTTCATCTGTAAAAGTAGATAAATTTCCTTAGTATGTTTGAAGATTAAACGGTGTAATGTATGTAGAATATCTGATATAGAACCTGGATAATGATAAACACGGATATTTTCTCTCATTATCATCAAATTGTGATCTCCTTGGAAGTACGGTCTGAATTGCGGTCATTGTCCTCTAGGTGCTTAACCCATTTAGGTGCTCACTGGCTTGGTACAGAAAGAACACTGAACAGTCTTAAGCCCCAACCTCAGCAATTTCTTAAGTGAGATCTAAGAACCCACAGAGACGCCCAAAACCTCTTCAGGGTGCTCACGGAGTTGAATCTGTTTTCACGAAAATACTAATAAATTCTCACATACGCACACAGAGCCTGGAATGGTCATTGATGTGGCTTCAGATTTCACGTTGCATTCAACCTTTAAGGAACTCCCACTGAGTTTCAGTAATGTGCCAAAGAAAAATATTCACACTTATCTGAAAAGCAATTAAAATGCTTCACCCTTTCCTCCCTATGCAGAAGAGGATAGATTTTTTTCCATTATACTTTAACCCCAAAATCATACTGCAGCAGACTGAATGGAGACCGAATATAAGAATCTAGCCATGTTCTACTCACCTAGGTAGGAAAGAAATTACGAAATATGAGCAATGTTACTCTTCACAGTAATCTTTGGTTTTACAAAACATATTGTATTATCTTTTGCAGTATGTTTATATTTTATAATATATT